AGCGCTGTAGTACCCAGCGCTACTCCAGCCAGCGCTCCAGCAGCGTGTCGCCAAACTTGCACACTGAAGAATGAGGCTGAGCTCTTGCCTCAGCCTCTTGATATAGCGGCCTGCTTGCCTCTTGGGCGGTGACTTCCAGGCCGCTCGGCCTCCCAAGCAACAGGTACCTCCTCCCTTTCGGAGGGAAACATCATTGCAGACTCTGATATTGCCCGTACAGGCTCTAGACTCAGACTGGATGGACTGGTGCCGGCCTAGACCTAACCTACCTGCTACTTGAGTGTTTTTCCGCTGCTCTAAGCGCCGCGGGCACCTGGCTCCGCTACTTGAGTGTTTTCCCTGCGGCAACCCTCAATGCCACGACCACAGGTAAGTACCGGCCCTTCAGGCCCGCCAAACAAACAAGTACCCTTGCGGGTCACACACACACTCATACCGCCAGGCACTCAGACAGGCACGCAGGTCACAAGCATGCACATACACACAGACTTAGAAAACACAGCAGAATGAGGGAATCTCAGCAAGGCATCCATTCCATCGGCAGAACTTCAGAAATCAGCAGTGTTCTCAGTCTGTGTTTTGACGGGTCATTACAAAGTTCTTTTCTTCTTCCTCTTCTCAGTCCACCATCTCCCTCTCACCCTCTCGTTATCTGACTTCACTGCATCAGCAGACTATGAGAGAGAGCGAGAGAGAGAGCTTGGTGACATTTGGATCCAGACTCGACATTGGACTTCAGACATTTTGATGAGGGATTATTTGGGACTTGTAACGAGACTTGGTGTTGACGACTTTCCCATCTCTCCCCTCCTCTTCTCCGTCTGATCCCCTCCTCTTCGTCTGTGCATGAACTGGACCTGGCGCCTTTTCCTGTGTATAGCGCCAGGCTCCCTTCACACCGTGTGGTGAGCATGATGTATGTTTGGTCTACATTGTAACATTGATTGGGCTAGTCATTAGTATTCTAGTATTCTGCTGCACTATCTTGTACTACGCGAAAGAGGTCAGTCCCGGTCAGGTCAGGACTTGTATCTAAGTCTTCCCTGCGCTATAAAGCACCATTTTGTATGTATTCGAATGTACACTGCTTGTTGAGATTTCACGTGCACTGCATTGTCCATTCAGTCCTTTTTATCACATTGTGGATCCTCGGTTATTATGTACGTTGCCCAACTGGGCATGTAACACCTGGGACCGAATTGGTTAGGCATACCCAACCACCCAGGCACAAACGTGCGGTGCTCCCGACTTCGACCGCGCTGCTGGAAGAGGCTGCAAAGCTCACAAATATTTTGGATTCTCACGGGCAAAGCAGATGTAACCACCTGGCGCGTGGCAATTGTCTGGCGCCCACCAAGATTTGCAATAATCGATGAACTCAGGGCACATTGAGATTCAGGGGGTCCGCCTTCGCTTAGGGCGGGCATGCGCCTGCTGCAGGGCCTTATGCCGAGGGGTAAACTCTCGCACCACTCATGAACTATTGCAAAACAGACCTGAGATCGAATCCAAATGGAACTAGATGAATGAAATAGACTAGTTATGTCAAATTTTGATTTACCTTGGGGTCGGCCAGTTCGACAATCTCTCGAGGCTGTGCGAGTGTCTGGGTCCTCGGCAGGCCTAAGTGGTCCCGGTTACAGTGGTGCCCGCCCTAAGTGAAGGCGGGCCTAATATTTCACGAGAGGCGTTTGACTGTCAATTTCATATTTGGGGTATACGCAGTTGCGACCCGCCAGTTGGTTGAGAAAAACGCAGGCCGAGCAACAAAGACATTTCCACGGTCTACTGGGCCTTTCGAAAGGATGCAGGCCCTGGGCGTGATTGGCAGCCTCATACACTGACAGTTGGGAGGCCTAACCGAACGAGGCCCAATAGCTGCAGCGCAAAGGCAGCATTCTGGGTCCTTCCGGAAGCTGCTGGGCCCAGGCCAGGCCAGCTCTTTCCATAAAGGAAAGAGCTCTCCCCAGGCAGCCTCGTTCAGGCACTCGCATGCTGGCGGCAGCTGCTAGAGCAATTGCTCGTGGGCTGCTGCTAGCGCTGAGAGGCGAGGTACAGCACGTGCGGTCGTGCAGGGAAGCAGGGCGCTGCTGAGGGCAGCGCCATAGCCCAGCCACCATAGCTGGTGGGCTTGGACTACAGTGAGGCGCATGAGTGGTCTTCGGGTGTAAGGGAGGAAGACGTGGGTGTAGAGTCACGGAAGGGGGAAGGATGATGATGATGATGATGTGAGGGCACATACCTTGTATTGGCGATGGTCTGCATTTGGGCGACATCTTCGAGTACTTCAGGTTGCCGCTGATGACAACAGTTGCATTGTCTATTAGTAGGCTGATCGTAGCTGTGTAGGGGTAGGCTGGGCGTTGAGCGCCAAGTAGGAGTGTGAAGCGACTGGACTCTTGTGTTGTGGCGGAGAGAGAAGCTCTCCTTGACATTGGTTTTCAGTACTACAAACCTCCATTGGTGAATTATTGGTGCAATGCTGCTCTCTAGACACAGTGTGAGTATCTGGCTTTTAATGTGATGGTGTAATCTGGAATTTGTCATCTCGCTGTTTTAATTTTCCTTGCAATTTGGTATCGGAGCTGGTTCATATTGCGCTTCATTCGTTCTTCGCAATAGCTGTTCGGTGCTTCGCATGAGGTGTGGGGCAGTGACAAGGCTTGGGCGTTGAACATAGGGCGGGCCAGGGTCGTGTGGGCGCGCCAGGGAGCTATGTGGTGACATACGGGGTGTATGGTGGATGATGAGAGCTCGCTCATGTGACATATTAAGCCGAAATGGAACTGCGTTCTGCTGTTGGTTGTGCCGAGGCAAAGACCGGTCATCATAAATGCACATCAGGTTGCCGGTGAGAAATTTGTGGTTGGGGGCAGCATTATTAGGTACATTGCTCTCTTCCTTATCTACCCTCTTCGTTACTTCTTACTGTGAGGAAGTGAGTTCTGTCTTGAGAGTCCTCTCGATGTGAGGTGTCGCGAGCGCTAAACTTTGAGAGTCGACATTCGTCCTGGGCAGCAAGCTGGTGGGAGATGGGCGAAGCCTCTGAAGGGCCCTGGACAAAGCACTTGGGTCACGGTCACCATGCCAACCCGTTGGGACTAGTACACGCATGCTTTGCCACAAGTCCTTGGTTCTGCTGCTTGGTGTGCTCTTATTTGGTGAAACTTGTGATGCAATTCTGCTTTTGGTTCGAGGTCACGATTATCTGGTCTCATGTGTATGATGCTGCTTGGTTTCTGGAAGTTTGCTATCGTTCATTTATTATTATCATTATTATTATTATTATTATTATTATTATTATTATTACTATCATTATTATGATGTTTTAATCATAGTTATAATTTATATATATATATATATATTAGCTGAAAAATTAGGGAGAAGACGGACGATCTGGTGGTCTTCAGGGAAGGAGGCGAGAGTGGGGTCATCAAAGGTCTGATTGAGGGTGAC